GATTAATCTATTACTAAATTAGTTGACAATTATTTCAATTATTGTTTCAGCCCCACTTCAGACGCCTTTTTTTTGCAGAGCATCACTTGTGTGTGTTTGCAGGGCGTTTGGCTGTTAGTGGAGCTTTGAACCATACGCTGCACATCAGCTGTTTAGACTCAGAATCTGTAACTTGACCAAAGGAGAAAAGGTCCAGATGTTGGTCTGGTTCTGTGAATCCTCCCTCTGAGATAATAGCATTAGACTTTGATTCAGTGTTAAACCCTCTGAGTCCTTAAATCCACCCTCCCTCCTTTTTAAAGGTGACTGGGCCTCATGCTGCCAGCAGAGTAGCTCCACTCCAACACTGTTTTAATTAACATGGCCTGACTTTGGCAGAGTGGCAGAGTGTGGGCGTTAGTGTAAACCAGCTGGCTGCATCAAAGAGACCAGTGTTCCCATCTTCTGCTGACAGAGGCAGAGACGGCGCTGTCTGAGAGAGAACGGGCCGTGCTGCAAGTCCAGCACATGGCGAGGAAGGCGTGAGAGCCGCTCACATTTTCAATCAACGTGATACATCCTCCTCTCACTCCTGAGTGTTTTCACTGCTTCTCAGGCCAAACTGAAGACGGTCAGGCTTTCTGTGACCGATGTGGCGATAAAGGTTTCTCAGGCTCCAAACTTTCCAGCCACTCTGTAAAGTTCCAGCTTTCCTCTAAGTTTCTGACTTAAACTCTGGTTTCTGTTATGCTTTTTTCTTTCTCTCAGCAATCCTATGAGGTTCCCATCGCCATGAAAGCCGTGTTTGATTACATCGACACCTTTTCCTCCCGAATCCGGGAGATGGAGCAGCAGAAGAGAGACGGCATCGTCTGCAAAAAGGAAGACAAACCCCGATCTCTGGAAAACTTCCTGTCCAGGTAGGATTCAGAGCTGCTCAGTGCAGCAAAAAAAAAAACAGCTTTGGCTGCTAATTACCATTATTTGACAAATTAATTTACCTGTCCAATAATTTTTACATTAATAATCAGATAGCAACATGTTCCTTATAGAGGAGTTCTTACAAAATTAAACCAGATGAACTTTTCCACTTGAGGAGTTCTGGAAAGGGAATTCTATAATACAGACAAAAAGGTTTTTTTCATAAATGCAAAATGTTTACATGTTGTTCACAATTTTTGTATAATTACTAAAGCATGTTTTACAGTCTCTATTGACTCGAATGGACAGAAAATCTGGTCGTCGTCAGCAAATTGAGGCAATAAAACTAGAAGTAATTGTGATTGACTGCAGAAATCATTCAAGTTCAGCGTGTGAAATCCAGCCGGATCAAAGAACGGTTCGGCTCCCTGTGGCATCGGAGCAGGAAAAAGGCCCCATGCCTCCTTATTGGAGCTGATATGAGCAGATTTAACCTAAATGATGTAATAATGACTGTGTCAGCATCATTTAAAGGCACACTATGCAACATT